GAACTAAATGGCTTCACCTTACCAGCTGCCCTAGTGTGCATACAGCAGCCTATGTTCAAGCCATGACCGTCAGTCTGGTCCTCGATAGCTGCGAGGAAGTTGGACTCAAATGAGAGCTGTCGTTTCAATCTAGGCATCTTCGCACACTCGGTTTGGTGTACCATGAAGATCAACAAAAAATGACAACTGAAAATTCGTCATCACCCCCATGCTCCTGGCCGGAACAAGACCACATAAAAATATTTTTTTCGATCATAACAATCTTCGAGACTTCTCCGGTGATCTCCCACCTGTCAAGCGTAATTCTCTTCTCTCGGATGTCAAACTCAGAGGGAATTCACCTCGGACAACATACTACCCGGACCTCGAAAATTTCCGTTTTCTTCATCAGAAACCACCACCGAGCTCATCGGCCATCTAATGGTATTCCATCCCCCCGAGCGATCAGTATCAAACATATCGAACCACTCCTTCTCATCTTGCCCTACTTCTCAGACACTCCACTGCCCTGTTAAGCACGACACGTTTTATCGACCGAAGGCTCCTATGATATGATTGACGCCCGTCTGAGGTACCTGCATGGCGCGGACAATTTCTGATATGATATTGATAGCCTCAACACAACACAGCTTGAGAAAATAAGAAACACAATATTTTCACAATTTACTCTGTCGCATTATCATGACCTTCCGTACCGTCTCTGGCACACCTCTTGACCACGACGCCTTACATGCCTCCTCGAACAAGGCCTCGTACACCTTCCCATCCTTCCTCCCCAACGTGGACCCCAGCAACTGTTGGTCCGAAAACTCAAAGGCATCCACTAATGCCAGAGCTGCTGGACGGAGTTCTTTCACCAACGCAAGTAACCTCTTACGACCGTCTCCACGCGGGGTCGGTTCCGGCAAAAACGATATCCCAGAAATCGGCATATACATAACGCAGTATGCATAAACTGAAACCAACTTTCGAACCAAGTCGATCGCCTCACAATCCGGTTTCAAGGCCGCTACTTTTTCCACACGGGAGTAAGCCCAGTTGGCCAAGACCCATTCACAGTAAGCCCGGGCTGCGACGATATCATATACACTGCTGCTACGATTACAGGCTGCAGCATGGGCCCGTTGGGCACGACCTCGCAGCTCTACGAGAGGTAACGTTGACGGGACTTCATCACCCAGGATGGAATCTGCAGGGAGGCTTCTCATCTTCCGTCCAGCATACGAGAGTAGAACTTGAACGTCTCCCTCGGCCGTCACGCGCCACAA